ATATTTTAAAATTCAATTTCAATTGTCAGTTCGTGTTTCAACTTAAGTATACAATTATGAATACGTACGTACGTAAAAAAATAAACACATTTTTATATAGACAGTATAACAACATGGTTATTTTTTGCGTTCACTATTTCAGTCTTTGTTATTAAAATTACAACTCTAGCTGTCTATTAAGCTCAAGCTGTGCGTCTTATTTTCGAACCCAGATGTTTCACTACCGACGCAGTAGCGTGACAACCGCGCAGTAAAACAAACGTGAAAGTTTTATTTGTTTCGAGATGATTCGTAAGTTCCGGACGGAAACAAATACTTAATGCATTTTGGTAAACATAATCAGTCACCCGGGAATGAGTTCATCAATCATCATTCATTCATTCATCATCTCAGAACAATGTCTCGAATTCACCGCGTTCCTTGAGTAGGGTATGACGGTGCCCTTGCGATTGGACGACTGCTCCTAGTACAAATCAACATTACACATAAAAGGAACAGGTTCTTTTTAGGGTTCCGTAAGCAGAGGGTAAAAACGAGACCCTATTACTGAGATAGCTATATAGATAGATAGCTGAAATTTTAACAAATTATGTTTTTCTTTAGCCATAGTAACAATCAATATTAAAGACAATATAAAATATACATTTACGGGGGACCTCCCATACAATAAACTTGTTTTTTGTAGATTCATGCGCGAGTCAGCCTCTTATTTGACCGGCTTTTTCTTTTTCGTTTATTTATTGTTTTGATTTTCTCAGTTTGTTGCAAAGAATTTTGAGTACAGTCTACAAATTCACGGAGAAATGAACACGCAATTAAAGAACATGGAACCATCTCCATTTTGATTTTTGAGTCGATTAAAAAGCACAGCTAGCTATTACGAAAGGAAGAAGAATCTTTATTATATTTTAAAATTTCAAAGCTTTAATTATAACTGCGTTACTAACTCAATTTTTACTATTCATATACACTTAAATGAGTAGTATGACATTATTTTAGATGCTCTCAAATCATCATAGTGTTAGTCATAGCGATGTCTGGTTAGCTTTAATCAGATTTCAGACTGACCTCACATTTCCAAGAGACGTTAACGAATGAAATAAGCTTATTTTATTACTACTACAGTGTATTAAGAGCCGATCTATTAAATATAGAAAAAAATAAGAAGATATTTATTGAGTACAAAGTTTGACATTCAGCTGCTGCTGAATTCGGAAGTTCAGCGCTTGTTGTAAGTGTAATTTAATAATCAAGAAGTTCCACTGATTAATAAGCTCAGAATTATAAAATTCACAAGCAATTAGTAAGTAAACAAAAATTTCAGCTTTAGCATTCATAGATATATTAATAATTTAATTGGTATATTTACTTTATAACAAGAACTTTCTGTGTAAATTTACCAACCCATGCTATAGTTATTAAACTCTCTAAGTACCAGTTAATTAGTAACAATAAGTTGTATAACCTTTGTTGTATTAGATACTCCATAATATGGGGGCTTTAGCTACTCATCTTGGAATCTGAGCAATGTCTAATAATTTATTTATTTATACTATTTTGATCTCATATATCTGAATATAATCAAACCTAAAACACAACCCAAACTTCATCTCCATCTGTCGAGTTACCTTTTGAAGTTAATTTAATAATGATTCTCGTACACTTATCTACGGAATTCATCAATTTTACTGCCTTCGGTGTAGAGGAAAATTAAAAAAAAAAACTCCGTAAATTCACCCTAACTTATTTATAAGCTAATTTGTTTCCAAAGTCGTTAGGTGCTCCGTAAATTGGCCGGGTGATTCGGCGTTTCACCGTTCACGAGCCTGGAGATTGTCTCGGCTTTAGGAATTCGTTTAAAATACGAGCAAAACCTTGTTTATTTTGCAAAGAGTAGTGTGGGTGGATGAATATAGAGCTCCTATCGGGTGAAGAAGTATCTGTCACTTCCAATATATGGACCACAACTAGTATCATTTCCCGTTACGTATTGTGGTATTTTTAATTGAAACTAAGTTTTTTTCACTTTGTGTATTTAAAACACGGAAAGTATTAAAAAAATAAATCCGAGTCATACAAACAAGGAAGACTGTTGACTTATTATAAAACACGAATCAAAAGCTTTAAATCAGCTGCGGACAACAAGATTAAAAGAGAAAGTTGCGTAATAAATGACCTTTCGAGATGCTTTCTTATCTTCCTTAAAAGGCTCAAAATTAGTAGGGAAGTTTCCAGATGAGGTGGCGCGTAAGGACAAAGGCTTCGGAAGTCGGCGAACACGCATTGAATTCATTCAGCCATTAATTTATGTCATTTCTTGACGGCTTTTGTGAATGATAAAGAATGTGGAAGTGAATGAATTTTGGCATCTGATTACGCTGACACCGTTATGAAGTTACAATAAAAAAGTTCAATCGATTTCGGAAAAGTAGTTATTAATACAAGGAACTTTCATTAGACTGATTTTGAAAAAATATATTTTGGGTATTTATTAGTCCCGTTTTGTTAATGACCTCTTAAGAACATGAAAGCCATTAAAAGGATGGAATGAAATGACGGACGGACAACAAAGTGTTCATATAAAACATGTCCCAGAAGAAAAATATGATAATGCCGAGGCAGCACTACAATACACTAATATTTCACTCAGTAATATCAACATCGGCGTATCATAGCCCTCTTTGCTGGGGCACATTCATCTATAGAACCCACACTAATAAGAAAATAAGATAGAGGAACACAATCTACAGGAGCAGATAAGAGAGTGCTAACGATTGCAGATGCAGCCTGGACTCGAGATAATACATTTTGGTCACCCATCTGATCTTCATCTTTTGCGAAAGTCTCTGCAATATCAAACCGAACGTACTAATCGAGTTTTTGTTATAGCTGAGTAAAATATATCAAAAACTTCCAAAGTTCTTTATCGGATATTCTCGGTAGTGTTAATTAACTGTGAAGCTTGAAATAAAACAAAAGGAAAGGCGGTTAATAACATTATATAACTTATTTTAAAGTTGGACGAAGCTTGAACTTTTTATTCTCTGAAACGACTTTAAAACCACCGATCAAATTATATTCGAGGGCGTGGAAAGAAATATTTGATCAAGGCAACATGCGAGATGCGAGAGAAGGTGCCATCCAAACACCTCCAGTAAACTTGATTTATTTTATTGGCTGAGGTTGCTTCCTGCGTAATACGAATGAACAAATCTATATAAAGCATAAAACAAACTCGCATTCCGCTTGCACAACGGATTTAAATGCTGATTTCCATCAGGTAGGTATTATACATACCTACATATAAACCTTCCTTTGGCGGAAATCTAGTTTCTTACTTAGTTGTGATGACAGTCCTGGATTAGCCAACTTACTTTTGTTTATTTTCTTTTATGGTGAATACTTATTTTATGATAGCCTCTGTGGTCGAGGTGTTCGTACGCCGGGTTCAAGTGTCGCCATCTGTGAGGTCCCGTGTTGGATTCCCGATATAGAAAATGAACTTTTCTCTGGGTTTGTGTGTTAGGGCACTTACATTGTTTCAGATTTCTCTAATTCAAACGTTTTAATTACTTAATTTGGGATCTGAGCGATTATCACGTACATAGTCAAGTTGTCTAGTATTTATTTTATATCACTAGATATCAATGAGCGTTTGTTTGAAAGCTATGCGATTAGGTAATGTCTAATCAAAATATCTATGTATAAAAATGTAAGCCAAAGAATGATTCCTTATACACATTTCTACCCCTATTTTCATTCTTTTGTAGAATTATTTTATATGGAAAAATAATCATATATTCTTTTTAGGTTCGATAAAATCTCCATACCAAATTCCATCTAAATCTATCTAGTAGTTAGATCGGATCGTACATCTACGTCAGGAGACCTTGTACTGAGAGGACCCGACAAGCAACTCTGCAGGGACCTGTCTCTTATATGTTTTTTTCATATCGAGAAGTTCCATCGTAAAATGACTTCATTAGAAACATTTTTTTTTTGATAATCGATTAATGTCCCGTTATTTGGAAAGCCTAAAGAATATTAAAGTTTCATCAGTTAAGTAATTTGCATATGCAACGTTTGACTTTCTCGATTACTTCGATAAATAAACAAGCTCTGTTTCCCGCAAAGCCAAAGTAATTAATAAAGTAGCTCCCGGATAAAGTTTTTGGTTGACATTTAACATTAGGTAATCTCTTTGATGTTTTGTTGGGCACGAAAGACCAATTTGCTTGTGGAAACAAAGCGGCAAAATTAAAACCAGGTTTTTTATATACAGATATTTTATACAAGATAATAGTATACTTTATTGTATATTACTTAGGACAAAATAACAAATTACACGTCAAGAGAAATCTAGCACTAGATAGGTATCTCTTCCAGACAACATTGCACGTATTCACCCGATTAAGAAGCTCATGCTCTAAGACATTAATATCCACGATGTGGAGACCAGAAGGGTGGATTTCACAGTGAGTGGATTTCCCGCTGATTCGTTCCGGGTTGCCGGGTGTCAATTTCAATTGAGGACATGCCATGAATGTTTCGTAGGTCACCCGTTGACCTGCTATGTGGCCCTAAGTTGAGTATGTCCATCAGCGGGGGAGAGTCCCACACATCCTTGCTGTCCCGTCAGGAGGCAGGGTAGTGCATACCGTTTGACGTGGACAGACAATGTCTACGAGTAAAGTATGGGTAAATCAGGTGATATCTAATCAAAATATCTATGTATAAAAATGTAAAAAAAATGATTCCCTATACACATTTCTCTCACTATTTTCCTTTGTAGAATTATTTGATATGGAAAAATAATCATATATTTTTCTTACGTTCGCATAAGTACTCCATATCAAATTCCATAGTTGATACGAGAAAACTTAACAGAGAGTTATTTCCGCATTTATAACTTCAGGAAAGATCTCATTTATTCTTTGAAGGTTCATTCAAATAAGGAACCGAGACTTTTCGCTGAATAAATTCATTTCAATAAATTCTTATCAAATCCTACGAGAGTAAATATCTCGGATTAAATAAGCTACAAAGTCAATGGCCGCCGTTCGCTCTGACATTCGAGCGGGGGGCATTGAACTGCGCACTGTGAAAATGTATACACATGTATAAATTGCGTCTAATGTTGTAATTTGACATCAAAAAATCAATATCCTACCTTATATCACTTTTTACGCCTCAAACAAGAAATATTTTTGTAATGGCAACACCATATAAGTACTTCTTTGTCTGTTGCTTGTGAAAGATATTGAAAGATCATATTTATTGTCACAATTTATTCTACATACAACATTTTTCCAATAATCCTTTGTTTATACCCCTAAATTCCCATAAGACCCAAGCGTGGGATGTGTCTAATTACACAATGCGTAATAATGTTGAAATATTATATATTTCTGGACGAAATCAGTACTAATGATAATTAAATTAATTAAGTGGATGTTGACAAATGAGGGGATAATGTTATAAGACAAATCAAGTTAGCCGACAAAGGTAAACAGATTCTCGTTATAAATTACCCATTTGTTTAATTGCTAAAATTATACAAAAGTAATAAAGTTGCCAATATAAATCTGTGCTTGAGTTTATATTATTATTTATAGGTTTTTTGAACACTACAGACTTACAATGGCAGCATAAATTGATTTTCGCATATTTATTTAGTTTTGGGGGTTAAAATTTAGGGGTGACGAATAATTTTTGTTTGTTTGTTCGTCAGGTAGATTATTCAATAATAAGCATGTATTTTTGCGTAATCATTAAATTACGGCGATACGTTGAGTTAAAAATCACATGACGTCACGTTTTGGTACATTTTCTACAAAACTATAATGTAGCGAGCCCCCACTCCTAAACTTTAACTATCGTTATCTATTTCTTGTTAAATTAAAGTAAAAAAAAATTGAGTATCTCTAATTTTTCTATTATCTGACTGATGGAATAAATAGTTTTTTTTACCCAGTCCGCATCCCTATTATGAGAATCATCCTGAAAGTTTCGCTTTTGATTTACAAAAATGATAACACGACTTACCCGTGAGCCAAGTGCCGTTGAATGGCTTGTAGTGTTCGGTGAGTACATCCTGCAGGGTCGGTCGTCTGCCCCTGACTCTGCTGCCATCAGTGGCTGGTGTTAGAAGGGCGATGCTGAAGACTATCAGACCGAGGACTGCCGCTATGACCAGTAATGCGATGAGGATCCCACGCCAGTTGCGTTGCGTAGGGGTAGAAGCAGCGAGTTCCTGAAAAAAAAGAACATAAAAATTTGCATAAATATCAATTAATAAACTTATGGAACATGAAAATAGGTCAGTAAATATCTCAATTTACACGATGTATTAATCGTTTTGACTAAAGTATAAACGATTAAACAGCCAGTTTTTTTGTGAGTGCTATGATTTATCTATTTATTTATATTTCATTGTACAACACATTACATAAATTAATAAAACAATATAAACATAAAATCGTAATTGGACAGTAGGCAGCCTTATTGCTTAACAGCTATTTCTTCTAGAAAAATAGAACGTTAGTATGATTAGGTTTTTTTTGCGTTGGAAACTGCATGCTCCATATGCCTGTGCTGGTACCTGTTACGTTTAACATTTGCGACCGAACGTTAACAGCATTTCTAGTATCAATAAAATTTGATTCTATTTTATTTAGATAAACTTATTGAAATGTATTGCCCTGTTGTGGTTCAAGACATTTTTAGGCTCACTAGAAGAACGCACCCAAGAAACTTACTGCGTTTAAATAAGTTAAAGTAATGGAAGGTAGTTAAATTTAATTTTCAAGACGGTTACAAAATAGTATTTACTGAGTTTCTTACCGGTTCACCTCAGTTAAGGCATCCCGCCGTAGATAGTTGAACCAATGACATCACTCTCGACTTTCAGAAGAGTTTGTTAACAGCCTACTGAATTTGATTTTATGTATTACATGAAATAAAAATATTGTGTACTACAATTATTGTAAAACCCATCAAATGTCACGGATCAGTCTTGGAACAACCGCGAGAACTCTTCTCTATACTAATCTAGTCCTAATTGATCTGTCACTCGCACGGCCCTCTTAGCTAATTGGGAATTTGGGTCGTACCTTCACATACGTCGTATGGATTATTTTTGCTGGAACACGTTAAATGTCACTGGGTAAAAAAAATCCGTCCCGGGTCAGTTATCAATATCGCCAGTGTATTTTTAAAGGTTTAGGGTGTTAAGGTCATGTTGTGAAATATTAGGATCAGAGTGATAATCTCTATCCAAAGTGGAATTCTTACTAGATTACTTGTATATTTGTTTGCCCTTCCATCTGATACAGATAAATATTTTACAAAAACCACTGCAGCGATCGAATTTGGTTCACGCTCTTGTGATTAGATCCTGTTTTATAAATGAAAACTTAATTTTCTTGAATCATTTATGAAAAGCCACACTACCATTTGCTATTTCTTTTATCAGAGACAAAAAAGACTTGCTAACCATAGGTTAGACTATATCTATATTTAAAATTTAAAAAAATAAAATTATAGTTAATCTAAATATCTGATAGGGGTGCTTATTAATCTTAAATTTAAGTCCTTAGCTAAAACATTAGTTACGGGATTTTTCTTTAAAGCAACAGTTTTAAGATTTTCTTAAATATATATTATCATCAATTACAGTTCTTTGATTTTTGCTGGGCACAGGTGTATAAGATTTCCTAATATAAGATGTTGTTCTTCTCAAGAACTATTATGATTTATTGTTATATGGCCTAATCCAGTATGAGCGAGGGTCATCTGCTGATTTTACAATTTTAGCTTTTTCTCACACATTATCTTTATTTGTTTTTACTAATATCTCTTCTTCCTGAAATACCATTTCCCTCTTCTTAATATTATTGTTACGCTTATTGTTTATATAACTTTTTCATAAGATTTTAATTTTTGTTTAAAATTGACTGGTATTTTAGAACTTAAGTTAGCTAGAGAAACTGTGAATTTTAGTTACTAACATTCTACATTGCAAGACTTGAGTTGGGGAAACATCAAAATTACAAACTGGGCTATTTTTATACTACATCAAGTTGTCTGTAACATCTGCTTTTTTTTCAGGTTTTTCTTACATATAATTTTAGATAATCCTACTGATTTTTCAGGTAAACATTACTTTGAGGATAATGTGGTGTACTTGAATTAATTGTGATGTCTTTACTATTATAGAATAACATACATTTGACGTGCCATTTGACTTGACCTTATATTTGGAATAACAAGACAAAGTTTTAAAAACCAATATAATATCAGCGTTATATATCCCATAATTTCCTTGATAAGCTCAAGTTGATTTTAAAATCTGAAATCCTTTACTGAATTATTCGTATGACCTCATGATTAGAATTCATTAGCTGATGTTCATATTAATTGCAAGCACATTGACCTTTACGTTAATATTTAATTGTCATGCATCAGCTGCAAAAATCGCAGAAATCGATGTTGTATACAATATAAAGGCTTTCTTTACATCGACTTTTTGGTGAAATCTGCATGCTTACAGAAGTACGGTGAATAATTGATTCTAAAATATTGGCGCTCATCCGATGTCGACTTCAACTAGTTATTATATGAAGCAATATCTGATAAAAGATGGGATTTTCATAGAGACGGGATTTGGCTGAAGTGTCCAGTTTTTATTCGATACCCAGTATTCCGGATTTACACACAATGTGCCTCTGAAAATGAAACTTAGCGAATATCAATGAGCCTCGTGATGGTATTGCTTACATTGGCCTAAATTGTCTTAATAATATTTGACGATTTCCGTAACCGACTGACTCGTATGCCGGATTCAGCGGTTTGATTCCCGGTTGGATCACCTTACCGTAAAGTATAATCCTTACTATTATCCTTACCGTAACGTAAGTTTACTGTACATGCTTATAAATTAGTGCAATAATTTGCTGTATTTGACCAATATTACGTTCACAATGCTGGAACTGGAAAATATTTTTAATTAAAAATGCTTGAAAAATCCACCAGCCCGATTTACTTAGCACATTCATGTAAATACGCTCACTAGTAGCGAAAAGTAACAAGTGCTTGAAAAATTAGTCGATCCTGTTAGGTCCTGGGTAGTTCAGTGGTTAGATCGTAGGTTAGAGTCCCAACTCAGAGTGCCTGGTGCTGATGGATTTTTAAGCGTTTTGCATTAGGAATTATTTACTGTTGCTAGTCTATGCAAACATTAAAAAGACGAAACATTTGATTTATTTGTTTATTTGTATTAAATAAACTCCGAAATTAATGAAACCATTTTTTAAATTCTTTCACCTTCGGGAAGCTACATTATATGCGGATGACATAAACTAACATTTACGCGGGCAAAGACGCGGAAAACAGCTAGTGTACAATTACTCTTTAAACAACACCTATAACGAATACGAACTTGATTGTATTCTCTATAACTCTGTTACACTTCTTCTAGATCGTTTTCTAATGATATTTCTAACGAGTTTTCTATCATCAATTATTTTTTGTAAGTTCCAAATGTTTGCAGGGTCGCCATGAGGTAACTTGTTTGTTAATTATGTGTGAAATCCAAACACTTTGTTAGGTAGACGTTGGTTTATTAAAAGGAGTTACAAATCAATTCCCATATAATATTCGAGTATAAACTATGCCACTGTTTTGCCGACGCACGTTACCGAGTGTTACCGATGTCTCACGAAGTTGAAAGAACGCTTGCAGTTGCTATGCACTCGTGCCACTGCTCGTATCAGTGTTTTGGTATGAGGGTATGAGACTTAAACTACCTTCATCGTTTAATAATGTTATTCAATAGGTGTTATTTTTGTTTTTGTGTGTACTTAGTGAAAATGCAAGCTATGTATATTTTTGAAAATTAAATTTATATGACTCATGTAAGTGAATGTTAAATTCTTATGAGCTAAATAAAGATCTTAAACCTCATAATAGTCATCAACATTATATTAATACACGCACACATATACTTAACACAATTACACCTTAATTATAATTATTAAATGTCAGCATTTGATGTGAACACACTTTTAGTTTCACTGTGTAAAATAAAAAGTTTAATTTGTAATGTAAATGTACGGTTCACAACCGTACAATAGTATGTTAAAAGCAATTCAGCATTTTACTCCATTGTATTACATTTTCATGTCATCATTTTTAGTATTCATTCGATCGTCACGGTGTGTACTCATATCAAATCATTTTATCATTTAGCATAAAAAGTCAAAAATCAATAAATAATTTCTATCAATTGAACTCTCCGTATCATTTCTTATCAAAATTAAAGATTGTGCGGCAGCAGCTCGTACAGTAAATAAGTAAATATATATTCATACCATTACAATTGAAAATGTTTAAAACATAACTACAATAACATTGTGGCTCTTTATTATTTAATTGAAAGTTTGATGATAGAGTGGTGAATAAATATCAAACTACCAGTACAAGTATTATGCATAGGTAATTGTATAACTTGGAATAAATTAGAGCAACGCACAAGTTTTATCATTAGAAACCCTGTTATGTCCATGTGAGTTCTGGGAATACGTGATGTTCTCATCTGGGCGAAAGCTTTTGTGTTGCCGATACCCTCCATTGTTGGTTTCTGTGGCCAAAGAAAGGTTATTGTTTCGTTCGATAAAATTACTTTGGGAAACCGTTGCACGCCCGTGAATTACTTTCGGATGTTGAGAATAATACTTTCTTTGTTATCCGTAAAAATAATCTTTTTCAATCTGTGTTTAGGTAAATTGAGAACATTGTTACAGGAACCAGGGACCAAAATGTTGATAACAAAACTTGTACTTACATATTTCGTAAAAGATTTTAATATATCTTGTTTTAAAATTGTTTTATCACCTTTTGCTTGATATATAATGTGGTAATGAAATACCATTATAAAATCACGTTTTAAGCCTTTCTTGATATATTCAATAGTTTCCTTATTTATACTATTTTGATATCGATGTTAAAAATACCAGTTCGGAGTAAATATTTCCTTATTGATGATATATGAAGTGTTTTCACTTGGAAATATCACATCATCTATAATTTCTACTATTCTTCGAGAATATATGCAATCCGGCTTATAATGGAGAGAACATTTTGAGTGCAATTTTTTTAAATAACGATTATAAGTAATTTTGTATTTGCCGAAGCAGAATATTTATTTTTACCGAGTTTGAAATCAAAAAGAAGGACGACGACGATGTATGTTATATATTACGTTCACCGATTTTTCCGTCGGGCGGCTATCACTTAATTAATAGTAACCTAGAGGAAACCTCCGACTTCAATAGCAGTTTCTCGAATAAGTCACTTTTATGATAAGTATTATTTATGACTTTTTAAAATTTGAAGTGGAATTTATTTGTTTGAAATAAAGTTTAATACTACCATCAACTAACGATTTTTCATTCAAGATTTTTCCGACTTTTTACTACTATTATACCTGAAGTGGGGTCGCCATTTCAATATTCATAGCTCTGAATAGTAGCTTTGAGATTTGCTTTTTGCTCAGTATTCTGAAGTTCAATGAATACACTTTATCGTTTCGCTTTTAAAATAGTTGAAAATGCTTTCACTGTTGTATATCTACTATTTGCTACTATTTGGATTTGTTTTCCTTTTTTGTTTGTTAAAAGCTTTCAGAGGATATTTGCATTATTTTAGTTAACGGATTTTTTTATTCAAATGTATTTTATAAACATTTATGCAAGTTTATGATAATAGATGAATTTAAGGATATTCATCCTATTAGTAAACAATAATCAAATCAAATAACTAATAATAATAATAAAACTAATTATGACAATAAAAGTAGAGATGAAAATCAGTAATCACTATCAATGAACTAATTAGTTTTATTGTTTTTTACAATGATTTAATAGTATATTTAGCGGTAGGCAATCGATTAGTGTGATAAGAAGTTGCTTATATGTATGCTTTTTGCATGAAATAGTAACATTGAGACATCCTTCCTCACATATTTTCGCATTGATAATATAAGTAGGATAATAAAAGTAGAATCAAATTCAGACATTGAATTATAGCAAGGAATCCTTAAAGTCGCTTTACTGAATACGGACAAATGAACATACGAAACAAAAGGTTCGTATATTTAAAACAATTTACGTATACATTAACCTTTTCTCGTTTCTTCTATCCTAAATATAATGTTGGATGGAATTTAGTTAGTAAAATTGGAATTTCACGTGGAAATAGGTCAGATTTCGTTCATCGCAGATTCCATTGGAGCTTAACGACTCGTATTATACGTAGTCCGTGCGGCAGACTCCAGTATTCATGGCACTTCAATGGACTGGTCCCTGATGGATTTCTTTGTTTCTCTTCACTAGGATAGTGATGATGCCAGAATTTTAGTGTTTATATAAATATGATATTGCTGCAAAAGCCAAATATTTTACAGAGAAACAAAGTTTTAGTATCTCTGGAATCTCTTTGGCTAGAAATCTCAATGCAAATATTAGTAGCAATTCAAAATTACATCAATTCCGAGAGGATACTAATGATTACTACAGAGTCTTCTGAAAATTCCGAGGACACACCTTAATGTCCTAGAACCCAATTTTGTATTAATAGGTTAAGGGGCTGAGGACACTGAATGATTTTTAGAAATCGACACGCCCCCTTACATAATTACAGGTGTCTACGCTAGTGTGGGTTAGTTCATTTCACGTTCCTCAGAAGAATAACAAATGCCTATCGGTTAAGCGCCAGCAGATAAACTTTGTACTAATAACAATGACGTTTTATAACCATCGAGTGCTTTGAGTTAGCTGTCTAAAGTGCTTACACAATAGGTGGCGCTGAATTTTTTTAAAAGAAAGGAATAATTTCTTTTTACTCCAGATTTTTATGGGGCTTAGAAAGGACAAGTATGTTTTTTCTTTTTGAGTCGACAAAATAACATACTATTATTTTGTCTGTTTCATATTTCAGAATTTTATTCTAATTCATTGATATTTTAAAAAATGCTTTGCATTGAATAATTAAAAGATTTAAAATTTAAAGAAATATGAAATAACTATATAAAATCACTTATGATACCACACATCACATCACATTTCTTCACTCGATTTTAAACCTTAATGTAGTGAAAGTAGAGTTAAAATAATTGCGATAATTTGATAGACGTGTAGTAACCTGACTTGCTGCTGTGTGTACCTGATAATGTCGGTCAATCAGAATAAACCAAATATCACGTCATGGCACTTAATCCCCGCCGAGTTTGACTGAGACGAACTTTCATACCTTATTCTCATTACAAGAAGAGTCATTATACATTTTAATTGTACGAATTTTTGGTAGGTCGGCTTTACGTAAACGAATATTCACCATATGCAATATTAATTGGAAGTCATTGTAGTTAGTACACATATCCATATCGAACTTGTCGGAGGAGGAGAAAAAAAGCAATTTTAGAATCGTTTTTATGAGAATATAGGGTAGACGCGCCTGTTTCTACCATTGTCTTGCTGTCGAACATTTCATGGCCCGTTTAAAAATAATTAATGCTTTAAGAATTGGACTCTACCTGATCTAAGGACTGGAGTTAATAAAACATATCCTGTTTTCATAATTTGAAGAAAAGTTATGGAGGTGGAATGATATTTTGTAATACTGACGCATCATCAAAGTATAGGACTGGTTGACCGGTTAGGATAAAACCATTAAAACACAATCATTTTATTAATCCCATAAATATAGATGATTTCAAAGTTGCCGTCAGACATTTTTTATTTGATACTGGAAAGCGAACTGATTCAAAAACAATATCTTAAAAGTCTATCCATATTTTAAATAGTACATTCTATCATCTGTTACCTAAGATTAACTTTGATGGGACTGACATCCCTTATAGCTTATCAGTAAAAAACTTAGGTATAATCTTTGATAGTAGTTTGAGCTGGGGACCTCAATTGCAATATGTAAGTCGTAAACTGTATGCTTCTGCTGCGTCACTGAGGAGGATGCGTAACTTTTTGCCGACTGCCACTAAACTTGCTCTAGCACAATCTTTGTTGCTTCCAATTCTTGATTACGCCGATGTCTGTTATCTCGATCTTACGGAAGACCAGCTTAATAAACTTGAGCGGCTCCAAAACTTCTGTATTCGGTTTATATTTGGATTGCGCAAATATGATCATATATCTCAATTTCGTACTCAGCTCAAGTGGCTTCCAATTCGTCTTCGCCGGAATGCTCATATATTATCCCTCCTTTACAATATTTTGTTTAACCCCCTTTATCCGCGCTATTTGAAAGAACGCTTCAATCCGCTATACTGCTGTACTTCATTTTCCTTGAGGTCATCGGAAAACCTGAAACTTGAAACCCCTCCCCATACAACTACTTTTTATGATGGCTCTTTCACTGTCCAAGCTGTGCGTCTTTGAAATGCTCTTCCGACTTCCATAAGACGCGCTCAATCATTAAATATTTTCAAAGAATTGGTAAAAGAACACTATTTATCTGTTTAATATATTTTAACTGCTAATAACCCCTTCTTCAATTCATTAGTATTTATATGTATCATATTTTATATATTTATGTATTATGTTATATGTATTTATGCAAGTATATTATATTTGTCAACTTCTGGTGTCTATTATTGTTATGTTTCAATGATTTATTTGGAATTACCTACTTTAAGTTTACACCCCCGTTTCGTTATAATTAACATTCCTATCCATCCAATGGTTGTCTGGCAGAAATCGCTTTCAGCGATAAGACCGCCATTTGTTACACTTTGATGTATTGTTTAATTTGTAAAATCTGTGAAGATATCTGTTGTGTTGACAATAAAGTGTTATTATTATTATTATTATTATTATTAAGTATAAAGAGCTTGAAGGAAAGGCAAAGTCATCCAAAAACACTCTTTTTATGAACTCCGAAACAATCATAATACTACAATTATTAAATGAAAATTCACTAAAGTTTTTACAGATAAACTTATCATTGGCTTAAATAGTTTTTGTCATGGAAAATGTATTTTATTTTAAAAGAAAATTGTCTTCGATTTATAAAAAAATATATTCTTGTACCAAAAATATGATTTATAGATGTATCACAACATCTGTAGCTGTAATTAAAAATATAGAGAAAAAACTGTTTTGTCCATCCAATCCCTATTAAGTCCTTTATTATCTAAGCAGAGATATAATTTTACTTTCCAGTTCATGAGTAAACATATAAGTATGTAGTGAAATTTCATTAGCAGACAGGGAACTAAGCGCCATTAAATACTTTACATCCGCTGTATATCTATATACAACGTGTAACATAATTAACGCACATTCTGAAAGTAGTTTGTTTATATTTCGTTATACTAACATACAGTTAATAAATACATCGAAGTGTCTAAGGATTATGGGATATATGATAGCAAGACTATGCTAACTGATTTTCATAACAAATAAGAATCATAATTATTGCCTTAACTTAAAAAATACTGAAGCCGTAATTTTCACGTCATTGTGTTGATTTGTAAAATGTCCACACCGTTACCCAGCAATAAGTATAACTGTATCATAAACAATGTTTAATTTTATTTATAAATCCATTTTATAAATTCATTTTCTAATTGGGTTGTAAAAGGACGTGCGTTATTTCTGTTACACGTTTTATACTTATAACAAATCTGCAAAAAAATAATGTCCATACATTTAATATATTTACAAAAAAAGAAAGAAATTGAGGGTGGTTAATAAACAATAATAGAATACGAATTTAAAAAATATTGTCTGTTTATCTGTATGTACACATTAATTTTCGGGACTACTGAGTATATTTGTATGAAACTTATTTTGTTAATACCTGGGCAATATATGGGGTATAATTAATTTTGGAAACTTAAACGATTGATGCACAACCAGCGACACCTTAAGAAAATTTTTTGTGCCTGATCAATATATTCTGCTAAGAGTACAAAAGTCAAAGATCCAGAACATATAATGTGGTCCTCAAAGATACTAGTTATACTATAACATCGGATAAAAATAACTTCTTAACAATAAATAGTTTTTTTATTTATTTACATTTTTTGCACAAATACACATTGGCGTTCTTAATGCCATGGCCATTTTCTACCAATAAACCTTAGGATGATGTGGACACGGGGTTCTCTCTATTGTTGTACAGGGCAAGTTCGTGACCTTGTTGCGTACAACAAAACGCGGGAAAGTGAAAAATCTATGGTTAGCGATACGTTTCGTTGTCTTTCAACGATCATGTAAATACTAAGGTTTAATGTCCGTTTTTTCGTCTACTCTAGAAACAGACAATGCAATGTGTCAAGAAGCTCTGATTAGATAATTTGGATTTAGTTTTAAATATATTAAAATTAACTTTGTACATAATAAGACGGCAACATCATTTTCCTAATTTTATAGTAATTATGTATGTATATACATACATAATTTTATAGTAATTATGTATGTGTATACATACATAAAT